AAGAGCAGGTAGATGAGGGCGCCAAGAGACCAAATGTCGCTCGAAGGGAAGGCTTTCTGCTCGGCTAGAACCTCAGGCGCTGTGTGGGAGAGGAAATCGTAGATTGATTACTGGAAAATGTCAGATCGAATATATTACAAAGGATCGTGATGCATCAGAGATATAAAGGAAAAAGAAAGGGAAATACAGTGGAACGGAAGTATTAACAATTGTGGGACTGGCATTTACGATGATAATGTACTGAGAGCTGGTACTATGCAGGGCATGCTATTATATTTACTTGGCTCTCGTAGTTCCCCTATTAACACTTCACGCATCCAAAACGTCAACATAATAAACACATCGAGGGCATTCTATAGAGTATCCCGTCCCCTTATCATGGTTTCAGGAATGCGTTTACCTCCTTGAACAAGAAGCCTAGAGTTATGGACTTTTCAATAGGGGCTAAACATTTATTACAGTATGGAAGAATAACACATTAGAGACATATCCTCTTAATATCAGCTATGAATTTTAGCACACGTCAACAAGAAATTTAATTTATATATATATATATATATATATATATATATATATATATATATATATATATATATATATATATTACTAACCTACGAAGTCAAGGAGACCATTGACTGGCACTGTCGAGCCCTGTTTAGAGACGCGTTGGGTGCTGCCAAAGTCCACTAATTTGACGTCGCAGCGACGGGGCGTGGTGAGCACTACGTTGTCGGGCTGGAGGTCTAGGTGGCACATTCCTCGCCAGTGAAGGTAAGACAAGGCGTCGAGAACCTGTGCCCAGAAAAGGAAAGGTATCAGCATGAACTAAAGTCACTCTGGTAGAAATATATCGAGAGGTTTGGAAAAGTGATTTGCAGTATCAAACTTTGAAATTAGTGGTCTAAATGATGAAGTTGCATCGTTTAGCTTACTAAACACACTGATACAACACAGCGCAAGAGAACTTCAGGAGACAGATATTAACTAAATACCAGATACGTAAATCATTAACATTTTTCACATGAATCACAAATGCCCTACATGCTTCACAGGTAAAACATGTCTAATAATGATAAAAATAACGATGGCAACTTCTAAAAAACAACGATAAGAATACCGTAATTCTAGGACCAAGAGCTAGAGAAGTTAATGTGTAAAACAAATGGAGGTGAGCCTACCCCCGGACTGGAAATTTCGAATTCACTGAAATTCATATCTCCCAACAAATAACTGACTACCACAAATGGCTGCATTTTGAATATATACCAACAGAAAGCCTCAGGTTGGCCGCTATTACTATTTTATATTTTCCTTAGAGATAACTTGTCATTTTCAGAAAGCAAGTAATGGATTTTACAATAACAAAAAAAAAAAAAAAATGTCTGAATGGATTACAGAATTATTATTAATGTAAGCTTATTTATGTATAAGTCTAATCCATAAAATGGTAGAAAAGTTTTAGAAATCATAATACATAAATTACTTATGGTTGTTCGTTTTTTTTTCGTTATAAAAAAATCGTAAAATTCGTTATGTAAAAATGTCTTAAAAAGTGAAGTATCATTTGCTGAATTTCAATTAACGGAGAGAACTTTCAAAGGCGTTTTTCTCAACATTGAATTTTAGAACATTGGCCCTTCTTGTCCTCGGGCCTAGAATTAATAACAATTATTTTTTCTTGAGAACTCCATTATTCATATGCATATGCATGAGTAGGGACGGGTCTATGAATAAATTAACATCCTACTTATCTCAACCATTGAGAACAAAGTCGGCCTGACGTACCTGCATAGCGATAGTGACTACGTGCTGCTCTGAGTATTCGCGCTTGCTGGCCAAGTACGTGAGAACGTCCAAGCCTGCCAGCTGCTCCATGATAAACACTGTCACGTCACCCACACTGAAATGATGCATCGGAATTAATAAAGTTAACAACGATAGTCTCGCTTTGAGAGTAGAACCAACTTATGTCAACGTAACAGCATTTAATTCGCTCTTGCGCACAGGCCGCAGACAATGAGTGAATACCCAGTGTCCACTCGCAGAGCACGACGAACGCCGGCACCCAACTCACTTGTAAGCCTCGTAGAGCTGCGCGATCCTCTCGTGGCGCAGCGTCTTGAACACCTCGAACTCCTCCCTAACGACGTCTTCCCGATCGTAGTTCTCGAGCAGCTTAGCAGCGAAGTGGCGGCGGTCGTCGGCGCGGATACACTTGGCCGTTACGGAAAACCTGCCTCGGCTCAGCTCAGCGATCATATCGTACTTTCGCACCTGAGGAAGTGCTTGAAATTATTCCACTACTACTACTACTATTATTGAAATTATCACAATTACTATTATTACTACTCATGAAGATGAAGACGATGATAATAATAATGAGGACAGCAGCAACAACAATGATGATGATGATGATGATGATGATGATGATGATGATGATGATGATAATGATAATGATGATGATGATGATGATGATGATGATGATGATGATGATGATGAT